AAATTGAAAAAAGAAAAAGAAAAAGAAAAGACAGCTGATCTAAGGCAGCAACACCTCATATTCAAAAAGATAGCTGACCTGCACATTGCCGCAATAGAAAAAGGCGTAGATGCACCCATCTCGCGACACGTCTTGATCACCGAAGGATCCAGTCCACTAATGCCCTGTTGAAAAAAATAAAAAAAATAAAAAATGAGGAAGGGTACAAAAGATAGGAGTAGAAGAGAGGAGGGGAGATGACGTGGGACGAGGAAGAAGGAGACGGGGGAATGGGGACAGCAGTTAAAAAGAGAAGATGACATCCGAGCACGCAACGAAAATCACAAAGGAGGTATCAACACGCCTAGCTCAGTTCCCTGGGGCCGGTCAGTTCAATGATGATACATCTCAAAGCTCCGTCACCCTTTATAAAAGAGGAAGAAAAATCACAAAAGAGCATTTCCATATCAGCAAATAGTAGTATTATAGTACAAATACCACAAAAATCACCGAGCTTTTCGAGATGGAGAGAAGGGACAGCTCAGGGTCGAGCAAGCAGCAGGGCAATAAGTTCGATGACATCGCACGGATTGGCAGTTAGCTCGATGACAATCGCACGGATGTTTTTTCTTTTTCTTTTTCCATCTTAAATATGAACGAAACCGATCAAAAAATTCAAAAGCATCAAAACGAAGAAGAGAAGTGTCACATTCTCCGGGACATCCGTGAAAATTGCAACGATAAAGAGAAAGAAGATTAGCATGGCCCCTGCACAAGGATGACACACGTAAATCGAGAAATGGTCCCAATAAAAAAAATAAAAAGAAAAGAAGAAAAAAGAGTCACTGTTGCACGTATATTGCACCCGGTCTGCATGCTTTTGCCTTCCCAGGCTGATCCTGTCTGGCGACAAATCACCAGAGGCCCATCATCGGTACCTAACTTCCTATTAATAGTACTAAACCACCACTACCTTTCTCAGTGTTGGGAAAACTGGGAATCTGATGGACATTGCATTTTTCGGAGGTCCCGAGGAGGCTCGGCAAAAAGAAAAAGTTCGGGCCCCGTGGGCCCATGTGTGAGGGAAAAAAAAAAAAAAAAAAAAGAGACCGGAACGATTGGAATGATGTCGGGGAAGATACCTGGGTGGAAGTCCAAGCGTGAACGTGTCGAAAAGTTTCGGCATTGCGTAAGACAGTTTAGGGTGTCGATGCTTTGCAGAGAGGATTCAGAGGGACATTTTCCTTTTTTCTTTTTTGCCTATATAGTCGAGGGCGCAACGCGCGCTCGTTGAAGTTCATGACCTTTGAGGAGGGCATGTAGTGTCCCCGAATGCATCCCGACTCCAAGTACCCTCCCCCTGACTGCATCAGGCCCAAAAATTGGCTCCGATACGTTCGCGGAGACAAAGCACCCTCTATCGCAGTTCCGTTTCTCGCTTCATGTGCGTCATCCTTGCGCAGGGGGCATGATAACCTTCTCTGTACGTCGCCACCGTGACGCCGTGATGTTCAGATCGGATGACAGGAGCCGGTGCGTACTTGAAACCAAGTCCAAACCCCAGGGGCCAGGTCCCACTAGCAGCATTGAGTTTCCTCAACGCCTGAATCTGGACGTGTTGTGGTCCTTGTGGAGATGTCCAGAAATCACGTCGAGTTTCCTCAACCTCAACCGCACATCTCCACAAACACGTCCAGATTCAGGCGTTGAGGAAACTCAACGCTGCTAGTGGGAATTGGCCCCCGGTAGTGGGACTTAGCCCCCAAAGGACACGATCGCGGTTCCCTATTTCGTGAACTTCCATCGAGATGCAAGGAAAATGAGCGATAGCGAACTCCAGAAACCAAGCAGCATCATACACATGAAACCAGGTAGTCGTGACCTCGAACCAAAAGCAGAATCGCAACACGAGTTCCACCAAATAAAGAGCACAGCAAAAGCTCACAAGTGACAATGTTGGAATAGTCTCATCATCATCAACAATGAACCAATGTTGACATCCTATCTGGCGCTCTGCGCCCAGACTACAAATGGCAGATCCTATCTAGCCTATCTACAATGCCGCTGGTGACGTCAACAGCTCCCCGAAGTATGAGCAGAGCTCGGCCAATGCCGTTCGCCTCAAGCACCAGGTATGTCTCTCGCATCACAAACAACCTCGATCCCCCCCACACGGATGCCACATACACCCAAGGACCACCATGCGCCCCATCCAGCATAGCGCAGGGCAGCTCGGCTATGGCTGCCTGCTCTTCCTGCTCGCCCGTGAGCGCGTGGGCGCTGGCCACCGATTAGCGCAGCAGCGCTTGCGCAGCATGCAGCCAGTGCCCCAATCCCCAATGCCAGGGCAGGCACTTTCCTAAATGGCAGTGGCCTGCCTGCTGCGTGCGGCCAGGTTGCGCTGGGCCCCTGCCCAGAAGCTTCCGGTAGGCCCCAAGTGGCTGAGAGCCCCCGTCCAGGCGAGTCAGGCCCAGGGCCTATGGCGGTTACCCGTGTTCAACTGCCCGCAGCCTGGGTTCGGTCCATGTTGCGAATCTGGCCCAGGGCCTGCCTCAGATACATTTAAAAAGAGCAGCCAGGGCCTGGGCGCTCTCAACCAACTGGCGCTGCGCGACTGCCTGAATTTCCCCCAGTTGCGTGGTAGCCGAAAATAGGCCTCTCAGCCTTGGTCGGGCCTGCCTTTACTTAGGGCGGCCGACAGTGCTGAATACAGGGCCCAGTAGGGCTTATCGAGGCCTTGAGCTTCACAGAGAGCAGAAGTCCTGGAATGTATCCTAGCTGATTTTCAGGTCCCAGACATTTATGACGAGTGGTGTCAGAAATGTTCACCCAGAAACGATTCGTGCAAACTGAAAAAGAAAACAGCAAAAAAAAGCAAATATCCGACAACACAACGAACCTCTGAAAAAGCCAAAAAAAAAAAAAATCCAAGACAACGCACCATCCCTCATTTCTGTATCTGAGCTTCAATGTAGCTTGTATTCAGAGCAAGAGAGAGGGGGGTAGGTAGCTAGTGAAGTAGTCGTTAGCTCTCTCACTATGGTACCAGTTCATATTTGGTTACCTGAAGCTCATGTAGAAGCACCCACTGCTGGATCTGTTATCTTAGCGGGAATTCTCTTAAAAGGATGTATCACACTAGGACTTTTCAGGATGTATCTGACTGCAATTATGGTCGGCTCTGCATGTATCTGGTCGCAATCACGTCCAGAGCTGAGTCGAAAAGGTCCTAGTGTCAGGAGGCCCTCAAAGTGGACAACGCCGTCATGATGAGCATGCATGATTTCTTTCTATTGTTTACAACAAGAATTATCAAAAGTATGCATTGTCCAAAAACACCAAATGCACCCGCATCGTGACTGCGGGCCTGGCTCCACTACTCACCAGTCGTGCAAAATGAAAATGAATCTTCTCCTATAACATGGTAAGATACACCACCATAATTTTTGTCTTTTGTGCATGTAGTGAGTAGAGGAGCGAGGCACCCGATGTATCCGCTTTTGGAAAATGGCTATATCCATCGTGATTTTCAGAAGTACATCGTTGTCAACAAAGGACACACCACAAAAAAACACAGAGGGTCGCTCCAGTGCGCGGCCTTAATTTTTTTCTTCTCGTGGAGTTAGATTTTCACGAGGTAAGGGGGGGGGGGGGGGGGGGGGGGGGCTCAAGGATTTTTGCTTTCATGCCTACTTTAGGGGGGTGCCATGCACCACAGACACACGCAGCATGTGCGTGCACTTTGCGGCGCACATGCGCACCTGCCGCGCACGTGATGCGCGGCAAGTATGCCTGCACCTATTTGGTTCCAAAAGAGACACCGATGAGGAGGTGCGCAGCCGCGGCGGTGGGGGTGTGCAGCAGCCACTGAGAAGGGGGTGCACGGCGATGCTGCTGTTAGCTGGGTTACCGGCCGGGCCGGGCCGTCCAGGTTGTGCCTCAGATTGGCCCCGGTGGCCTGGCTGGGCCAGGTCTGGGCAAAGTCCCGATCAAGGTCCCGGGAAGTCCTAGCGCAAAAGAAAAGAAAAAGAAAAAAAAAAAAAAAACCCTGAAAAAGAACTATGTCATGCAGAAATACAAATCAAACAATTTTTGGCTGAGGGTCACCCCGAAATTCGTTATGGAATCCGAAATAAAAAACAAAAACAAGACTCTAAAATTCTAAATTATATCATCCCCCTTTACACCCCTTTAAGCCCCTTTGAGCCCTTTTGAACCCCGCTTATATCCATAGACACCCTTTGGTGAGACATCACAAAATTCACAGATAAGGCCGGATTTGGGCACACCTCCGTAGGCACAAAATTGCCCCATCGCCCAAAAAAAAAAAAAAAAGGGCCCCCTTTTGAGTTGCGCCCCGCCCCCCCCCCCCGCAGGTTTGCAAGGGTCGCCAGGCTGGGCGACCCCTGGTAGCAGCACAGGCTGTTAGCTTTAGAGGCTTAGGGAATTAGGGCATTACACACACTTGCACTTTCCCAAACGTATCTGACTGCCGTTGCGGCCGTACCTAGATGCATCTGTGCATCTGACTGCGATCACGTCCAGATCTCAGTCAAAAAATTCTCAGTGTGAGCATGCCCTTAGAGATGGCAATAACAGGACACGAGGAGTGAAATGGCGAGAAGGATGGAATGGATAGAATTATGAAAGCTCAATGCTTGGACTGACTTCTTTTTTTCTTTTTTTTCTCAAATTCTTAAGAATACAAAGATTTAGTCTGTCACCAACTGAGTTAGGCCAGTTGGCCTTTCCCCTTCCACACTCTTCCCACTCTTCTTTTCTTGTCTTTACTTGTGACAGCGATGAGAGCCTGAAGAGCAGCTCATGAACTGCTGAACTACAGACCTCAGTTCAAAACTTCAAATCCAGCTGGAATCAGTAGAGTAAACGAACAGCTCATTCTACTTTGGGGTCAGCATATGCAGTGCAGGTTAAAAGCCTTGCAGCAAAGCTGACCTCGAAGTAGTGAAAGCTGTTTTTCAAGAGGTAGGGAAAGAAAGGGGGGGGTGAGAGGGGGGGAGGGAGAGCACCAGATACGCTGACCCCCAGAGGGGTCAGCAGATCACAAGCATGCAATATGACACAAAAGACCCGGAGGGGGGGGGAAAGGGGGGCGGATTGGGGGGGTGGGTGGAAGGGAGCACTGCATAATAGTGCATATGCTGACCCCAAAGGGGTAGGGTCAGCATATTGCAAGTGTGCAACATGACAAAGGGGGCGTAATGGGTGGGGGCAGAAAGAGTGGAAGCGAAGGAACGATGGATAGGGTTAAGAGGAGAAATAGGTGGTGAGGGAGGGGGGG